AGCGTAGAGATTCTACAGTCTTTTTGATGTAAACAAGTAACTCCACGGCAGGGGAGTCTGGAAAAAGAAGCCAGTTCTGAAGTATTTACACAATTTAAAATAGAACTTTTATACCCACTGGATAGATATAGATAATACATTGAGCGATTTGGTTAAATTATCTATGAAACTATAGAATCTGACAATGTAAAAATACAAGAAAACGTTCTCTCGTTTTAGAAGGTAGACAGTTAAATCACACTAGAAATAAATCTCTTTTTTAAAAATAATAACAATAATAATAAAGGAAAGGCATAAGAATCCATGCCATCTTTTAAGGTTAAAGTATATTACATAAATAAGGACACAACGGAACGGAACTGGGGAAAAAATTAAGTGAAATATAAAAAACTGCTACCAATTAAAAAAAAAAGACTAAAAACTTGATTCTTAATCACAGAGGGATCAATTCTGCTTCTTTTACTTACTCTGCAAGTAGAAAATTGCAGAGTTAAGTAGTACTTACTCAGCATGAAGAAGTGACGCAGAATTGGCCCCTAATAATTATTAGCAGTGTCCTTTTACTTAAAAAAAAGAAGAAAAAGACAGAATTTAGCTTTTTTTTTTTTTTTTATAAATAACAAAGCAGATGTGCCCCTTTTTAGGTGAAATTCTTACACCTTTCTCAAGAAATGCATCAATTAATCTTTCTCTCTCTTTCTCACATACATACACACACTCCCTCCCCAACTCAGTGTTTACCACAGCGTGGCTCTTGGCTTGCCACTGTGACATGGCCGTGGGCACTGCAGCCATGCTGCCGCCATTGCCCCTAACCCCAGGTGGGCGAGGGAAGAGAAATGACACCCGGAGGCTGCATTTGGCTCTGTATTGCTTGAGATTGTCGGGGATGGGCTATGACGCTTAGAACAGAAAAGGGTGTCAGGGCTCAGCTACAAACAATGATGTATCTTAGTATTCAGCGTGCCTCCAACAGGAAAAAAAAGAAAAAAAAAAGAAAAAAAAAAAGAAAAAAAAATTTAAAAAAAGAAAGTGCTGGTCTGCAATTGCAATGCTCCTTTGCATGGACCAGTGCTGAAATCAGACACTCAAGACTGGAACGTGGTGACTGAGCTGCCACTCTGTTAAAGACAATGTGCAGCCCAGCCAGCTGCGCTGAGTAGGAATCGGGATAAACCTTTTATTTTGGGCAGCACCAAACCTAAAACTTGGGATTGTCCTCTGCATTCAACCCAGACACTCAGAAACATTTGCTCCTTCTCACGGAGCCCTGGGGACCCGCTGGATTCCAGACAGAAACCCAATACCCGACCCTGAACAACGAGATTTTCTGGGGCAAATTTGTGCAAAAAAAAACCAAAGGGGCCTTTTATCGCAAAACTTTTCACATTTTGCGTTTCCCCACAGCACCTGCAGGAAACTCCTGGGGGACATTCTATAGTTATATATTTTTACAAAAATAAATCTCCTCCGTGCTTATTGCCTACCATAATATACCCTTTTGCTCCCAGTTTCTCTTTGAAGTAGCACTCCCCCCGGCCCCACTGCCCCAGCCCTCGCAGGCGATGGGGGGCAGCTTCCTGCCCCAGGGGCTGGGGTGCCAGGGTTCCCTTTTTGGGGTGCTCAGCTCCGAGCTGCACCCACACCGGGGCACCTGTTGCGATGCCACAGGCTGGACAGGAGGCAGAGCTAATCCTGGCGAGGGGCAATCCCCGCTCCCCAGCTGCAGCAGCCCCCGGGATGAGGCTCCTGCAAAGCGCTGGGTGCCCCTGGCTGACCCGCACAGCGCCCAGCACCGCTCTGCTCCTGCCCGTCTCCCTCTTAGCATCTGAAACAGTCACAGGCTGCGAAGGGAGGCAGCTCTCACCTGCCCCTTGTGCGGACCCTCCTGCTCCCCCCTTTTCAGGATTGAGCACTTTGAGCTAAAGACACCTGTATATTTGAATTAACAAAAAAAAATTAAAAAAAAAAGAAAAGAAACAAAAAAAACTCCCACAAAATTCAAGTGGAAACTTATTTTTCGCCACAAACCCTGCATGACAGCAGACTGTCACACCTGTGCTTCTGGAGCTGCACACCCTCCAGGCTCAGCTAGTCCTAAGAGCCGGGGAAAGTCCCCAGGGGCCGGCAGTGGGTGCCCCCAGGGCAGGCAGCACATGGGATCCTGCATCCCTGCACAGTTCCACCTCTCTGCTTTGCACACCTCTGCATGCAGTGCATGAGTCCCGGAGGAATTTCTTGGGGAAGGAGAGAAAACAAACTATTCCAATCTAATGCAAAAAAAAAACCCCAAGCCCCCCCAAAACCCCAAAACCGAAACAACCCACCCCAACCCCACTTATAGGCTTCAGGCACCACAAAGACCACTTATTGCATCTCCTCCTACCCTGTGGGTGCAGTGCTGATGGGCTCTGTGCAGGACGAGCCCTCCCCTTCCCGAGCACCAGCCTCCCCGGGGTATGCAGGAGCTGGGCACAGGCAGGGCTGCGGGCTGACCTGGGGCGAAATTTTAGATCTGG